AGAGAGAGAGAGAGAGAGAGAGAGAGAGAGAGAGAGAGACCGACCTAAGGAAGTGAGTAAGGAACACTCATTGTTCCCAAGTCAACATCTTATGCCTCCCTCATACTTACAAGTGGGGTTGAAAAGCAGATATCCAACGCGGAGGGAAAGAACAAGGAATAGGCATCTAATGAAGCTATAATACTAAGAAGCCAAAGGAGAGGAGGAGTCTGAAAGCTAGTGTAGATGCACAGGCTCATCACATGGCAGGAAATCACCTTAAGCGTATCTCCAAGAATTTGTGAGGTCTCAGGGCAATGCCCCATATATTTTGACTTGAGGGAAGGAGATGCTAGTATGCACACTTCCCCTTCTAGGAATGGATTTCAGAATAAAACAGCATCCATCACGTGGTTCTAATACATGCACTTGATCTTTACATTAGCAGTAAACTCCCAAAACATTACTTACAAACTGATTCTTCACTGTCCAGATCAGTACACATTTTAGAGAACAAGTTCAATGTATATTACTTTTTAAAGAGTATTTATTTGGAGCAAAAGATTTATTTAACTCAGAGAAGTAAGTAACGGCATATGTAACAGAATTTTTAATTATCAGAAACCTTCCAAGCTACAGCAGAGTTAAATAGGCAACAGTCTGGCAGATTCAATTTAATCTCTGGTGAGTCTCTTGTATTTTGCTTTTCCTGCCTTCATAAGGAGGGAACACCGTAAACTTTCTGTTCTGTAATAGAGATCATTAGCCTCAGCAACTAAGAAATGGTCTTGCCTAATTTAGAGAAGAAAAACAGCGAGGTATGTCCCTAATCCTCACTCCTCAGATTCCTTCTGCAGATCTTGAGATGATTACAGCTTTCAAGGAAAGAGGACAAGAGTCAGTGGGCCTGACTCTTAACTTCCTCCCACAGAAGAGTGTTATCCAATCTAAAACCAACTAACACTCTTGTTAACATATTCCTGTACAAACTAGGGATGTTAAATTTTGATTAACTAATGAAATAGTCAATGGAAATCCCATCAACTATTTGATTAGTCAATAAGAACTACCACTGTCCACCTTTGAAATGTACAAGAGCCCCAACAGGGACTTTTAGTCCCCCACTGGCCCCAGGCTCCATGCAGCGCTTCCTCTTTGAAATGTTCCTCTTTTAAGCTGGCTCCCTCCAGGATCCCCCCAACCTCCTCCTCCGCCCTTGCTGCCTCTTTGTGATACAGGCAGCAAAAGGAGGGGGGAAGCAACTTGTTGACTAGTGTGTCAACTATCCGATAAGCTTTTGCTTATTGGATAGTCGACTAGTTGATTAGTTGCTTACATCCCTAATACAGACAGCTTAATGGATATGCTGACTAAAGGAAAACTGACACAAATTTCTTCTCTACGAAGGTGGAATGTCCACTTACTGAAGGGCAATACCCAACAGCATCTTAAAAGAGATTGGGACAGCTGGGGAGAAGGTGATGTGTCACCTCAGCAACTGCCTTTGTACAAAAGCCACATTGGCTAAAAAGTAGGTATTTATTTAGGAATGTCTGGTGAATGGCTTATGTACTAAAACTAGGGACTGCTTTGCAAATACTTCTGCCAAAGGTGGCAGCCTTCTTTCTCTTTCCATTATGCACACATGCCACTTTAACACAAATTCTCTATTAAGATATTTTCTGAATTTTTACCATTCTTTAGCAATGCAAACACTTATTATGCAGGTGATTCAATCTGGTATAGTTTAAATGGTACGTATCACTTTGGATTGCAGTCCAGACTGAAAATTGAATATAAGCTGGGAAGTGAATAATCAATGGGACTGAGTACACAACAAGTCATTCACCCTACAGTATAGGCAATTGTATTTCCCTTTGGAAATTTTGTAAGAATTTATTGTTCACTGACATAATGGGGGGAGGAATAAGAATGACATGTAGATACACAGTGATAAAATCAGGTTGAATCTTAGAATCACAGAACGCAAGGACTGGAAGGGACCTCAAGAGGTCACCGAGTCCAGTATCTTGCCCCCATTGCTTTTTGTGCTCCAAGTACTGATCATGGGTAGCTAGAGAACAATTTAAATGGCTAATAAATTTAAATTAAGTTATACAAATGATAGAGAACAGTCTCTCTTTTTCTAAAAGGTGAAAAGTCAGTTATGCTTTAGGCCAGGGCTACTCAACTTTGAAGCACCGGGAGCCACAATGATGCTCACAGCTCATGCCGAGGGCATATACATGCAAATATATATGCAAATAGCATCTTTTACACTGACGGACATGAATACAAAGATTATGGTAAGACTACACAACACGCAGGCCCCATTTAATTCAGTTCTGCTGATATTAATAAACTGCAATATTTACCTGATTTCCACCCATATTGCAGTACTTTTAATGAGCAATGACAATCCAGAAATTTAACTACAAAAACACATATCAACAGAAGACCATTACATTGACTACTTTTTTGTTTTGGCTCCAAGCCGTGGGCCACGTGCTAAGCCCCATGTAAACCCAAACTGCACTGCGGGCCACAAACAAATGGGCTGCGAGCCACATGTGGTTCATGGGCCACGTGTTGAGTAGCCGTACTTTAGACTGTGCACTGCTGTAACAGATTGTTGCTTCTTTGTTGGTATTTACCATTGTATATATAATACATAGGAATCAGTGCTCCAAAGTAATGAACCAGCAATGACAATGTAGTAACCGTACCTTTGTGCAGAGAGCCTCAGCTTCTGTAATTCTTCCAGCCTCTTTTAAGCCAGTAACGGCCTGACAAAGAGACCAGTCTTCAAGAGCCTGAATGTACTTAGCAGAAAGGTCCTTTTCTTTAGCTGTAAATAAACATGCATTTAAGAACGTATTGCTCAACATAGTCTAGCGCCCTACCACACATCAGGGTTTGAATGCTGGCAACTAAAGAGGATCTAGTGTGTCATGATGATAGGTAAGACAAGCTAAGTGACAGTGCTCCCAGTTTTTTTATTTATATTATTGGGGGGGGGGGGGAAGAGGGGGAGAAGAGACTTAAAAACAAAATAAAAACTATGCTGTTTTTGTAAGATAGCTATCAACATGTGGGCTGATAAAATAATTGAAGCATATATTTTAGACAAGAGAATTTTTCAAAATGCAAAAAAAAAAAAAAATTAAATCAAATGTTGCTGACTTTGCCAGTTTAGTAAGGGAAGTAGGAATTTAAAATCCCAATTCATCAGTTAACTGGTTAAATGTTAGGTTAGCCTGGGGTTGTTGCTGGCTGCTGATCATAATGCTCAGGTAGCCCTTCACCTGCAGCAGCCTGCTAACAGGGGGCTGCTCCCTGGCACTATTAAACTGTTATCTAGGAAGCATCACCGGGTAACTGGTTACCTGTCCAAATTCCTAAAGGAAAGCTACGGATAGCCTGCCTTTGTCCATTTTATCCAAGATTAAAAACTTGTTTAGGAAAAAGTACATACTGTATCAATTTAAAAATCAGACCACTGTAGTTTAAAGTAGAATTGAAAACAAAATGTTTTCAAGTCAACACGTTGAGTGTTAAGAGTTTGTAATTAACCTTAGTTCAGGTTCTGTATCCTTTGTTCATCTACCAAGGATACTAGTACTTCTGAAGTACTGTAGTGAGAATTTAAATGAGCACATTTTGAGTAATTATTAGCCTCTTTTCCGTTTGTGAACTGTCCACAAAAGCTTATGATTTTCTCAAAGGCATTAAGCTTGTAAACATTTGGTAAATAATTTTGAACAACTTTTCAGCTATAAATAAAGCAGCTCAATGTGAGTGTTCGATATTCAAAATAAATTTAGTTGGCTAGTGCTTCTTGGATACAATTTACATGATATTGTCTGTGTCTCATGACTGGATAAACCTCATAGAACAGGATTGGGCAGACACTGGCTTGC